CCTCACATGGTATCAATTATCCATCCACACATGGTATCAATTATCCATCCTCACATGGTATCACTTATCCATCCTCAGATGGTATTGATTATCCATCCTCACATGGTATCAATTATCCATCCTCACATGGTATCACTTATCCATCCTCACATAGTATTGATCATCCATCCTCACATGGTATCAATTATCCATCCTCACATGGTATCAATTATCCATCCTCACATGGTATCACTTATCCATCCTCACATGGTATTGATTATCCATCCTCACATGGTATCGATTATTCATCCTCACATGTTATCAATTATCCATCCTCACATGGTTTTGATTATCCATCCTCACATGTTTTCGATTATCCATCCTCACATGGTACCAATTATCCATCCTCACATGGTATCACTTATCCATCCTCATATGGTATCAATTATCCATCCTCACATGGAATTGATTATCCGTCCTCACATGGTATCGATTATCCATCCTCACATGTTATCAATTATCCATCCTCACATGGTATCACTTATCCATCCTCACATGGTATTGATTATCCATCCTCACATGGTATCAATTTTCCATCCTCATTTGGTATCACTTATCCATCCTCACATGGTATTGATTATCCATCCTCACATGGTATTGATTATCCATCCTCACATGGTATCAATTATCCATCATCACACGTTATCACTTATCCATCCTCATATAGTATTGATCATCCATCCTCACATGGTATCAATTATCCATCCTCACATGGTATCAATTATCCATCCTCAGATGGTATCACTTATCCATCCTCACATGGTATTGATTATCCATCCTCACATGGTATCAATTATCCATCTTCACATGGTATCACTTATCCATCCTCACATGGTATTGATTAGCCATCCTCACATGGTATCAATTATTCATCCTCACATGGTATCACATATCCATCCTCACATAGTTTTGATCATCCATCCTCACATGGTATCAATTATCCATCCTCACATCATATCACTTATCCATCCTCACATAGTATTGATTATCCATCGTCACATGGTATCGATTATCCATCCTCACATGTTATCAATTATCCATCCTCACATGGTTTTGATTATCCATCCTCACATGTTTTCGATTATCCATCCTCACAAGGTATCAATTATCCATCCTCACATGGTATCAATTATCCATCCTCACATGGTATCACTTATCCATCCTCACATGGTATTGATTATCCATCCTCACATGGTATCGATTATCCTTCCTCACATGTTTTCGATTATCCATCCTCACATGGTATCAATTATCCATCCTCACATGGTATCAATTATCCATCCTCACATGGTATCAATTATCCATCCACACATGGTATCAATTATCCATCCTCACATGGTATCACTTATCCATCCTCACATGGTATTGATTATCCATCCTCACATAGTATCAATTATCCATCCTCACATGGTATCACTTATCCATCCTCACATAGTATTGATCATCCATCCTCACATGGTATCAATTATCCATCCTCACATGGTATCAATTATCCATCCTCACATGGTATCAATTATCCATCCTCACATGGTATTGATTATCCATCCTCACATGGTATCAATTATCCATCTTCACATGGTATCACTTATCCATCCTCACATGGTATTGATTAGCCATCCTCACATGGTATCAATTATTCATCCTCACATGGTATCACTTATCCATCCTCACATAGTTTTGATCATCCATCCTCACATGGTATCAATTATCCATCCTCACATCATATCACTTATCCATCCTCACATAGTATTGATTATCCATCGTCACATGGTATCGATTATCCATCCTCACATATTATCAATTATCCATCCTCACATGGTTTTGATTATCCATCCTCACATGTTTTCGATTATCCATCCTCACAAGGTATCAATTATCCATCCTCACATGGTATCAATTATCCATCCTCACATGGTATCACTTATCCATCCTCACATGGTATTGATTATCCATCCTCACATGGTATCGATTATCCTTCCTCACATGTTTTCGATTATCCATCCTCACATGGTATCAATTATCCATCCTCACATGGTATCAATTATCCATCCTCACATGGTATCAATTATCCATCCACACATGGTATCAATTATCCATCCTCACATGGTATCACTTATCCATCCTCACATGGTATTGATTATCCATTCTCACATAGTATCAATTATCCATCCTCACATGGTATCACTTATCCATCCTCACATAGTATTGATCATCCATCCTCACATGGTATCAATTATCCATCCTCACATGGTATCAATTATCCATCCTCACATGGTATCACTTATCCATCCTCACATGGTATTGATTATCCATCCTCACATGGTATCAATTATCCATCCTCACATGGTATCACTTATCCATCCTCACATGGTATTGATTATCCATCCTCACATGGTATCAATTATCCATCTTCACACGTTATCACTTATCCATCCTCACATAGTATTGATCATCCATCCTCACATAGTATCAATTATCCATCCTCACATGGTATCAATTATCCATCCTCACATGGTATCACTTATCCATCCTCACATGGTATTGATTATCCATCCTCACATGGTATCACTTATCCATCCTCACATGGTATCAATTATCCATCCTCATATGGTATCACTTATCCATCCTCACATGGTATTGATCATCCATCCTCACATGGTATCAATTATCCATCCTCACATGGTATCACCTTTCCATCCTCACATGGTATCACTGATCCATCCTCACATGGTATTGATTATCCATCCTCACATGGTATCACTTATCCATCCTCACATGGTATCAATTATCCATCCTCACATGGTATCACTTATCCATCCTCACATGGTATTGATTATCCATCCTCACATGGTATCAATTATTCATCCTCACATGGTATCACTTATCCATCCTCACATGGCATTGATTATCCATCCTCACATGGTATCAATTATCCATCCTCACATGGTATCAATTATCCATCCTCACATGGTATTGATTATCCATCCTCACATGGTATTGATTATCCATCCTCACATGGTATCAATTATCCATCCACACATGGTATCACTTATCCATCCTCACATGGTATCACTTATCCATCCTCACATGGTATTGATTATTCATCCTCACATGGTATCAATTATCCATCCTCACATGGTATCACTTATGCATCCTCACATAGTATTGATCATCCATCCTCACATGGTATCAATTATCGATCCTCACATCGTATCACTTATCCATCCTCACATAGTATTGATTGTCCATCCTCACATGGTATCGATTATCCATCCTCACATGTTATCAATTATCCATCCTCACATGGTTTTGATTATCCATCCTCACATGTTTTCGATTATCCATCCTCACAAGGTATCAATTATCCATCCTCACATGGTATCAATTATCCATCCTCACATGGTATCACTTATCCATCCTCACATGGTATTGATTATCCATCCTCACATGGTATCGATTATCCTTCCTCACATGTTTTCGATTATCCATCCTCACATGGTATCAATTATCCATCCTCACATGGTATCACTTATCCATCCTCACATGGTATTGATTATCCATCCTCACATGGTATCAATTATCCATCCTGACATGGTATCACTTTTCCATCCTCACATGGCATTGATTATCCATCCTCACATGGTATCAATTATCCATCCTCACATGGTATCAATAATCCATCCTCACATGGTATCAGTTATCCATCCACACATGGTATCACTTTTCTATCCTCACATGGTATTGATTATCCATCCTCACATGGTCTCAATAATCCATCCTCACATGGTATCAATTATCCATCCTCAGATGGTATCACTTATCCATCCTCACATGGTATTGATTATCCATCTTCACATGGTATCAATAATCCATCCTCACATGGTATCACTTTTCCATCCTCACATGGCATTGATTATCCATCCTCACATGGTCTCAATTATCCATCCTCACATGGTATCAATAATCCATCCTCACATGGTATCAGTTATCCATCCTCACATGATATCACTTATCCATCCTCACATGGTATTGATTATCCATCCTCACATGGTATCAATTATCCATCTTCACATGGTATCACTTATCCATCCTCACATGGTATCACTTATCCATTCTCACATGGCATTGATTATCCATCCTCACATGGTATCAATTATCCATCCTCACATGGTATCAATTATCCATCCACACATGGTATCAATTATCCATCCTCACATGGTATCACTTATCCATCCTCAGATGGTATTGATTATCCATCCTCACATGGTATCAATTATCCATCCTCACATGGTATCACTTATCCATCCTCACATAGTATTGATCATCCATCCTCACATGGTATCAATTATCCATCCTCACATGGTATCAATTATCCATCCTCACATGGTATCACTTATCCATCCTTACATGGTATTGATTATCCATCCTCACATGGTATCGATTATTCATCCTCACATGTTATCAATTATCCATCCTCACATGGTTTTGATTATCCATCCTCACATGTTTTCGATTATCCATCCTCACATGGTACCAATTATCCATCCTCACATGGTATCACTTATCCATCCTCATATGGTATCTGATTGGCTGCGGAACTGATTCGTGCAATGATTCAGTCAAGATGCAAGATTTCCCGCCAAAAAGGGGACTATAGAGGTTGGGATACACCTAGGACTTATGTGAAATTCTACTCGTTGGGGAATTGGGAGTCTTTTAGGAAGAGCCTCTAAGCCAGAACATCTGTACCTCCTCCCCCCAGATAACCCCCAATTCCCCAATTCCTGCGCGCATCACCTTCACCTGTTTCCCCCTTCTAAATGCACAGTTCCTCCTCATGTCCTACCCCAACTTGCCACTTATCGAGCATTCCCACCTTCTCCCACTTATCACCTGAGCAGAGCGGGGATTGACTCGTCCCGCGATTCGCGAAGCGCCTCTGCTCCGCGCATTGAGCAGCAATGGCGGCGGCCGAGTGCGCGCCGCAGTTTCGCGAGTTCCAGTGGCTGCCGGAAACCGCCAAGGCGCTAATCGCCGCTTCGCTCTCTCCTAAGGATGCTGTCTCGCTCGCTCTCACCTGCAAGGTGCGCCTCTTTGCCGCTCTTGCCGCTTTCGCCGCTGTTACCGCTTCTTTTATCACGGAATTTCTTATTTTTCACCTTGCGCTGAGCGAATCTCTTTGAGCCTGTAAACGCTACAGTGGCGACTACCGTGACATCGCTAATACCGCCATCCCTTTCCCAAGCCACGCGCGATGCGGAACTCCTCTCAGCACCCTATTCTGTCCCTTCCTTGGTCTCCCCCCATCATTCTTTCCCCCTCGTCTCTCCGAGACTCCCCCATGCCCCGCAGGACCTCCGCTGCATAGCGCGCCCCTTCACGGCCCGCGAGTTTGCCTGCAAGGCATGCGGCGCGCGCCTCTTCTCCCCGCGCGCCCTCATTCCCTGCACCACCCGCCCCTCTCCGCCTCCCTCCGCGCCGCCTCTCTCCCCCGCGGGTTCCTCATTTCGCAACAGCAGCCGCGCATCCCCCAACGTCCTCCTGTTTCCGCCCGACGCCTCCACAGCGCCGCCAGCGGGCGCGCCGTCGGTGCCGCTGCTGCTGCTGCTGGACGACGGCGCGGCGGCGTGCGTGCAGGGTGGCGAGGTGGAGGAAGGGGGGGCGATACGCGCGCTGCACTCCAACGTGCCCTTCATCGCCGTGCCGCGCCTCTGTAAGGCATTGGTGTAGCGCTGATGAAGGCCACCGGCCGAAACGCGCGTACGCTCAGGTTTGAATGACAATTTTTTACCTATTCAATCCCTACTAGCCTAAGCTCAGCCTAGAGGAGATTAGGACGAGTTACCTGTTGGATCCAGGTCGAAACTGTTTTTCCGCGCCTCTGTAAGACCTTGGTGTAGCTGCATGCCGTCCCCCCCGCATTCGTCGCGATGCAGCAAACGTGCCATGCGCTAGACTACTTTCTTCCCTCTCCTCCCCGCCCCATTGCGTGTGCGCGCGCGGCAGCGTGGGGACGGGCGTGCGCGCATCTGATGGACGCGGCGACGCTGCACTGCGCGCGCTGCCTGCTCTTCCTCGGCATCCAGGTCCGCACCGTCTTCCCCCGCCTCGCCGCCTCCCCCTCCCCTCCCGCCTCCGCCTCCCCCTCCCCCGCCCCCGCATTCGCCGCGTCCCACACACCTCCTCCCGGCGCATCCTCCCCCACCGCCGCGTCTCCCGCTCCCCCCCCCAGCGCCCCACCATCTTCCCACACTGCTACTAGTGCCCCGCCCGCTCACGCTCATGCCGCGGCCACGGAAGGCGCGGCAGCAGCAGCGGGGGGCGCGGGGCAGCAGCTGGGGCTGTATGCAGCGGAGGCGAAGGCGTTCCTGGTGCGCAAGTACCTGGACCTGCTGCGCCCCGCCTCGTACCCGGGACTAGTGGGCGCATCACCACCACCACCACTGCCAACGCCAGCACCAGAACCTTCAGCAGCAGCGGCAGTAGCGGCGGGGTTGGCGGAGGTTGCAGCGGCAGGGGGTGGAGGGCAGGGGCGTGTGCAGGTGTATGCGGATGGGCTGTCGGGCGAGGGGGATGGCAGGCACGCTGTACTGTGCTCGGGGCGACGGGGGCATGTGGGTGGGGGCAGTGGCGCGCAGGGCAAGGCGCCGTGCCTGAACGTGCTCTTCCACTCGCACCAGGTACTGTTTGACATCACTCGAGAGGGCCGCACGGGTACCACAGGGCTGTGGGATGGTGGGTTGGGTGGTGGTGAGTGAGGGCAGGGTTCTGGGAACAGGCAGGTGTGTTGGAGTGGGGTGCTTGCACCGTTGCACGTATATAGCCGCCAGATGCGTCTCCACTCCTCGTCACAAGCATGCCAGCAACGCTGCATTGCTCTCCTCTCCCTCCGTCTTCCCTTCCTATCCCGCACTTTCCTTCTCCCTTCTCCCTCTTCCAAACCCGCCATTCCTCATCCCCTTCCACTCCCATTCCCATGACGCACGGGGCGAGGCGGGCAGGTGCTGAGTGCGAGGCACTGCTGGGATGCGGGCAGTGGCACGGAGGTGGCGGTGTACTGCAATGCACTGCACCCGGGCGCCTTCCTGCTTGCCCCACCGCGCACCGAGGAGCTCGCGCAGGGCGCCATGCAGGTCGCTGACGTGGCGTGCGCCAGGTGTCACGCGCCGATTGGGTGGAAGTTCTGCTCGCTTGCGGGACATGGCACGGATCTGAGGAACTTGAACCAGGTGAGGGGAGGGGGGAGGTGGGAGAGGGGGAAGGGGTAGGGGCGAGGGGAGAGGGGGAGGGGAGAGGGGGATAGGGGAGGGGAGAGGGGATACGGGGGAGAGTGGAAGGTGGAGGGGGGAGAAAGGGGTGGAGAGGGGAGATGGGCGAGGGGAGAAAGGGAGGAGAAAAAGGGTGAGAGCAGCTACCGAGTATGGACGTGTTCACTCTATTTGTTTGCCGTTGTTTCGAGAAAGGTGACAGCGCCAGTACTCTTGCTGCTTGCAGGTGGGCAGGTTCGGCATTGTGCTGTCTTCCATCCACCGAGGCAAGGAGTTCCTCCCAGCCTGGAGGGCTGCTTCGGTGTGGGAGGACTCTGAGGAGTATGAGGAGGAAGAGGAGGAAGAAGAGGATGATGAGGAAGATGAGGACGAGGAGGAAGAGGGGGAGGGGGAAGATCTGTCTCTGGTAGAGGATGGGGGAAGAGATGGAGTGATGGGGGATGGAGAGGAGGGAGGTAGCAGTGGCAGTAGCAGCAGTGGAACCAGTGGTGCCAGCAGTGGCAGCAGCAGCAACAGCAGCGGCGGCAGTCATAGCAGTGGCAGTGGCAGTGATGGAGCGGGCATGGGGAGGCAGAGGGGTGAGAGGAGTGGGAGGTGTGTGTGGAGTGTGCGGGCGCTGTCTCGCATCTGCCGCTACCACACGGCGGAGTAGCACCTGCTGCATGCGCCACTCACCCACACCAGCTGCAAGCAGCCTTGTGCATGACTGGGTGCCAATCCAAGCAGCTTCTTTGTCTGCAGTTTGTATATAAGTACATACGTCTCTCTGGTGAACTTGTCAGGGGTGTGGTTGTGTGTGTACCGTATGTGTGTCTGTGGTGTGGATGTCTCTTTCCCATGTGTAATTTGAGGTACCGGTACCGTCATCGCCCGGATATAAGACATATATGTCTTATCTCGTACACGGGCAAAAATGCTTATCTTGTAAACGGGATGGTTTAGGGTGTCTTATAAGTCTTATAAATGGAAAAAAAAAAGTTGACTGTAACACTTGCAAAGTGTGTAGAAAACACCCAGAGACCAGATTCATTGAAACAGGCCGACCTCGGTGGTGATGCATGCAGCGCCCACACTTGCCACGTGAGGGAGCTGCCACCGCTGGCAATATTCCTCTGTGCTGGCAGCATCTAATGATGCTGCCAGCGTCGTTTTGCTGCCAGCAGCGCAGGGATGCTTCCAGAACGCTGCTGGCAGCACGTTGGCAGCGTGAGGGCTGTCCTCTACGAGGAGATGCCTCGTAGAGGAGCGGCTCGGCACCTGTGGATGGGGCACTCTGGCTGGGGGGGGTAGTCGGCCTCTCACTTCATTTGGTGCTCAAGGGTTTAGAAATACTCGTCTCAACCTTGCTCTCGGAAGGCTTTCTAACCATGCGCAGCAAAGTACCCCCAGGCTCGTCCTCTCCTCGTCCTCACGTGCAGGTGAATAACTACGGGCGAATTAACTCGCCCGGCGATGACATCCGTGTAGCCATGGCGAAGAACGCGAGCAAGGCGGGAAGTCCTACCGCGGCCTCCGGTGCGAGCTGTGACGGGGACGACGGAGAAGAAGCGAACGGCGACGACGCCGAGGAGGATTGGCCGGAGAACGGCCACGACGACAGCGCTTCGGGCGACGAATTAGGTCCTGCCGACATCGAGGAGGACGAATGGTGGAATCGGCCGGTCGGGAGCGACGACGAGGTGGAAGAGTGGCGGGCTGGAGATTCGGACAACGACGGAGGTGAAATGCGAATGGTGACAACGCGGAGGCAGCGGCGGATGCACAGGAAGCGGCGATGGTTGCGGATGAGGAGGCTGAAGACGGCGCGGCCGCAGTTGCGGATGCGGATGCTGTGGCAGAGTCGGACACGGTTGCTGCGGATGCCGTCTTATTTGACGGTGAAAGCGGCGACGACGACCCATGGAGCCTTGGGACAGACGACGACGTTCCGCTACTGAAGCGGAGGCTGCGCCATCGCCTACAGTCCAAGTCGAAGCGGGCCCGCGTGGTGCTCTCTGACGACGACAGTCCGGGGGAGGAGCGTCGCCCGAAACTCACCGCTGCGGAGAAGGGAAAAGCCAAGGTCGCGGAAGCCCCTGCTAAGGCCCCTGCTAAGGCCCCTGCTCGTCGCTGCACAAGCAACAAGAAGCGGACATCCGACGGAGACCCGGGATCTAGCAAGGGTGCGGCTAAGAAGAAGGCGAAGAAGGCGCCGAATCCTGACGACATCGTCGTGAACGAGACTCTGGGCAGCGACGATGACTACGCGGCGGCGGCGGGCCCGATTCCCACGTTCCCTGAGAAGGTCACGCCGAAGGACCCCACCCTCCATAATCCCAACACCCGCCCACCTTCCCCTCGCAGCAAGGACACTACGAGGAAGTGCCGCAGTTGGACCGTGCGTGAGAAGCTTAAGTGGGCGCGCCGCTATCTGGAGCTCGGCTCCTTGAAGAAGACGAGCGTGGAGTCAACCGCGTCCATCGCCTGCATCAGACGCTGGAGTGCGGAGGCGGCTGCGGGCGTCTACAAGGGCGCGGCTAACTGCCGCAAGCGGATGCACGGGGGGGGGCGCCACTCACACTACCCCGACATGGAGGCAGCGTTGTACCGCTACATCTGCCTTCAGCGCGCTAATGGGGTGGCCATCTCGGTGAAGGACACCCAGAAGTGGAGCCGCGAGTGGATGAAGAAGCATCACGCCGGCAAGAACTGGAACGCGAGCTCTCACTGGAGCCAGCGTTTCCGTGACCGCTGGAACCTGGTGATGCGGGTGAAGACCAAGGTCGGCCAACGACTGTCGGCAGGTGCGTGTTGAAGGAATTCGTGTCGCGCGCGGGCTATTGAATGCATGTCCCTCACCCAGTGTCTAACCATCCCGTGTTTCCGTTGCGCGTGTACCGTTTGCAGAGTGCGCGAAGGCTTGCGAGTCCTTCTGGAAGTTCGTGCGCATCAACAGGGCGCGGCACAACATCGACCTGGCCCGCATCATCAACGCGGACCAGACTCCACTATTCGTGGAGATGCCAGCCGAACGGACGATCGAGCACCGCGGCGCGCGCTCGGTCCCAATCCGCACTGCAGGCTACCAGAAAACGCGCTTGACGGTGATGCTCGCGTGCACTGCATCCGGGGAGAAGCTGCGGCCGTGGGTGTGGTTCAAGATGAAGAACGTCCCTAACTGTGAGATTCCGGAAGGTAAGCGTAATGAATTCAACCGTGCGACTGCCTGATGAGCGTGCCCCACTGTGCTGAAGCCCGTCTGTCCCTTGTGTGCCTGGCAGGAATCGTGGTCCAAGCACAGGACAACGGGTGGATGGACGAGAGCGCTGTGCAGACCTGGCTGTCCAAGGAGGTGCTGCCCCATCTGAACCCCCAGCGCGGCCAGATCGCGAGGCGTGCGATGCTGGTGTTGGACTCCTACCGCGGTCACATCACCCAGACCATGCTTCAGTCGTACCGCACGAACAGCATCACCCCTGCAGTCATCCCAGCGGGTTGTACGAGCCAGATTCAACCCCTGGACGTCTCAATCAACCGGTGCTTCAAGGCTGCTGTGCGAGCGCGCTACGCCAGGTGGTTCATGCGTGAGGGGATTCACCTGAAGACGAAGAAGGGTGAGTTGGTTCTTCATTTATGGTATTATTCCTATTCTATTTCCTGTCCTTGTCTTAAACATGCTCCTTCATGTCCGTGTCTCTAACATCTCGCTGCCCCGTCCTCAAACCCACCCGCAGGGAACCTGCGGAGGCCGCCCCACCCCGTGGTGCTGCAGTGGATCGCGGAGGCTTGGGATCAAGTCCCCAAGCAGATCATCATCGACGCGTTCCGCCACTGTGGGATCTCAAGCAAGCTGGACGGAACGGAGAACCACCTGGTGATGTCTCACCTGCGCGCCAGGAGCACCACTGATGTCTCCGCGGACATGTCCCTCGGGGGGACCACATGCGACAACACGCGCCTGCTCGGTCGGGCTCCAGAGGAGGAGGAGGAGGAGGAGGCGATGCAGGCGGAGGGCGTGCGGGAGGTGGCAGTGGCAACCGGCCTGGAGGTGCTGTACCAGGAGACCCCCAACTACTGCGGGGCGGCGGCCGAGGCTGACCGCATGATCGAGCCTAGGGAGACGGCTAGGCATGCCTGGCGAGTGCCAGACCTGGGTGTAGAGCCTGTTGTTAGCGCAGTGTACACTAGCTGCCTACTCTCAAGACTCAAACTCTCCTGTTATACCATACCTTTCCCACCTACTGTAGTCACTGCCGCAGCTCACAGCCAGCCCAATCCCTTGCCTGGGTGTCTCATCCCCTTGCATCTTTCCCACTCCCACATAATACATCCAAAGGCTGCCGTCCGGGCGAGCAACCACGTAAGGTGCCCCCACAAGGATATTATCCCATGCCTCCTCCCCTCTCCTGGCCTTCAACACCGGTCCGCCTGGCTCAGGCCCTGCACCGATGGCCTTGTGCCACGTCAGCCCGTCGTCGTCCGACGTGGCAAGGCCAATGGCAAATTCGTTGCTGGTGTTGCAGCCTTCGTATAGCATGATGAGGCGAGTGCATGCCGCATGTATTTCAACTTTTCCTGACGCATCCGCAGCTGAACCAATAGTACCAGCAGCAGCAGCTTCAGCGGCATCAGCAGCAAGGCCATCTATGCTCCGCCCTGCTTTGCCAGCTGGCACCGACACAACACTGCGCACAGACACTCCCTGCTCATCCCACGACCCTGGTCCCCCTCCTGATAACACCTTCCCCAAACGCTGCCAGGTCTCGCCACCATCGCGGGACACAGCTGCACCAGCAGCGTAGCTGGCCTTGCCCTGCTCATCCTGCCCGCGTGTGTGGTAGGTCATGAGCCACGTGTCACCTGTAACAGACGGGTCTGCAGTAACAAGGTTACCACTGCGGCCCGGGCAGGTCAACAGCTTTTAGACTGCCCCCAGAGTACAGCATGCACCATTCCTGCTGCCCGCTGCTGTTGCTGTTGCTGGTGGTGGTGCTGTCGCCACCTGCTGCAGCACTGCTGGTGCCTGTGCTACCAGCATCACTAGCACATGATGCTGGGTCGTCAATGGCACATGCTGAGTCATCATCACCAAAATCTGAGTCATCACCACTGACGTGTTCTGGATTCCAGGCACGCAAAACGTCACCAACAGCCACGTGGACACTGTCAAAAGCCTCGTCAGACTCAGCAGGATCCAGCACAGCACCGCCAGGTAACGGCCCTCTCACGCGCTGCCACGTCACCCCGTCCCTACTGACAGCAAGCCCCACCCGACCAATCGGCACAGGCAGCGCTTTGACCCCTTTCGCCCAGTAATCGCCATCCCTGCCATAGTAGTACATGCGCCATAGACCAGGATCCCCCACCGCGCTCCCATCAACCTGCACCCCAGGATCCGGCGAGTCAGGGAGAGAGCCAGGCTCCCCTTGAGAAGCTGACTCACGGTGTAGAGCCTGTACTGGTGCGACGACCACGGGGCCCGAGAAGCACCGGGAATCCCACAAGTGCACATCAGCAGGGGGCGGTTCGAGCACACGGCCGAGCAGAGGCCGTTGATTGCTCTCATCAGCGCTCGCGGTCTCCGTGGCTGCTGATCGCGCTGCTTCAGAGGCGCCTGAAGCGTTGACGCTGGCTCCACTGGCGCGTGCCATGAAGGAAGGGAGTACGGCCGATAGATTTGACTGAGACAGTGTTGTTGTATCGAGTCCGCTTGTAGCGCGGGTCCCGGGGGGAATAGGGCGGCGTAGAGGAGCGAGAGGGCGAGTTTCGCGCAGCGAGCACGCGCAGGCTGCCGCCGTGCTCCGGGTGTGGCAGCAGTGACTGCAGACAGCACTTGTAGAAGCGGCTTTGCCACAACGGTAAATCGGACGGAAAGCTAGACTAGCTACAGAAGGTCTTGAGCGAGCGACAGATGGAAAAACAACGACGGAATTCCACGTCCAGCTGAGTTGCGCGCCTACCAGGCCTGCCATCTTTCGTGGTAATAAGCGTGCTCGGCGCACAGGAGGAGCGCCATATGTAGTGTGCGGGACTCGTAGGAAGCATGAACGATGCTAAGTAAACTACACCCACCCCATTGGACGTCTCTTCTCCCCCCCTTTCCCGTGTTGACAGGAGTCATGGCATGGAGCGGTGCAGCACAATGACTGCGACACTGCGACTCTATCTTGGATGGCTCATTTGCGACTGCTGTCTCTGTCTCGATTTGTGGGCTGATTGACATTCCAAGAAGGCGCATTTCCGTCACAGAAGAATTCGTTTCACGACCCATTAATTATACATCCCAAATATTTACGTTATTGTGAATGTCCACGTCAATATTTGGCTTGTTGAGCTTTTCTTGTTTACAGAATAAGGATTTGGAGTGCATGCTATGGACATTTAAAAAAATGGAAATACATATTATCTTAATAGCGGATTTTTTGTGACGATTATTGTCTGATTCTGAGATTTTGATATGGAAATTAACCTGGAAACCCTTTTATTCAAGGGATAATGCATGCTTCAGGAAGTTGTGAAGTACTGTGACTAGTGAATGATTGTGGATAAGGCGGGGACTAGTGTATATAAAGGATGTGGTGGCCTCAAAAGAGGAACCTTAAAGGAGAAAGGCGTGGATGCTCAGATATCCACGTGGCTGCTAGAGCAGCACAAGGACATTCCGATCTCAAAAGTAGCATTAAGACGTGTCAAATGCGTGTTCGCCAGTCTGGGCTACACACTCCAGATACGTCGGTATCCAAATTTGACCACTTAACTTTTGCTACGTGGATTTACGACCTCAATGTCACTTTCCCTGGAAACTGGTCCGGCCCGTATTTGCGCTAGCAGAAGAGGGTCCATATTTCCTCCCCCCCCCCCCCACCCCCTCGGATTTTCCCGCCAGGCCCACGTCACTGCACCAACGGAAATGAACCTCCTCGAAGGTGGCATCTCGTGGCGCGGCAAACTCCAGCTTGTCCCCAAATTTCTGACCATCAAGAATCAAACCCAACCCGAACAAGAATGCGCCCCAGGCGTGTCTGGTGTACGATGAGCAATCACTGGTCAGCAGGATCTGAGACATCTGAAAGTACGATGAACCGACATCTGACCCGAAGAAGTACGACACAGTCATGTCCTCAAACCTGTAATTCGGGAATTTGAACACCCCCTTGAAAATTGCAGACTCTCCTTCCATTTGCACTACAAAGCTGCTGCGCCATCTCAGAGCAAAAAACACGAATACCATTCCCATCACCCCACCCCACCCCCACCCATCAACCAACCTGCGCATTCCCCCCACCCTCAGCTCTGTCTTCCAACCACCTTCAGCAGCCATGGCCGCGGTCGCAGTCACCCTTCCCACGGTCGCGTCCTTCGCTACAGCTTCCGCTGGGAAGAAGGCGGTCCCTTGCAAGGCCGCTCATGTGGCCGCTCTGCCCGTCTTCCGCTCTACAAGGAGCACTGCACAAAGGCGTGGCGCCGCTCTTAGAGTGACGTGCAGCAGCACCAAGCCGGAGGCGGAGGTGGCTGAGAGGGTGGAGAATGCGGGCGAGCAGGAGGCGTTCCTGGCGTCAGGCTTCTTGGAAAAGGCGACGCTCATGTCGGCTGCTGCCATGACGCCGCTCCTGCTCAACGTGCAGGTGAATAGCAAAGGCTGCCTTGTCGAACTTGCTCGCGTTACTTTTTCAGCGTAACAGTCAGCTGGTTTGTTCGTTTGTTTTACATCCGAGTTCATTTTAAGTAGAATGAAGAGAATAAAAATGAATGGGTGTACAGTAGTGGGTGGGTCCGTGTGGAGCACCTCGTGAAGGTAATGCCCCAATGTAATGGTCAGGGCTCGTCGACTGTGAGACAGACTGAGCTTGCGGCACTCCGCACGCACTTGTGCTTCTCGATGTACCTCTATCCGACCCACAGCCTTCGGGGCGAGTCACTAGCTCCACCGCTGTTCTATTTCTCCTCGCCGCGCCCTCCTCACGGCCCTCGCTCTCCTATCCCGCTTTTCGGAAGGTTCTCACCTGTTCTTTCTTTCCGATTCCGTACGAGATCCCTCCTTTATAAAACCGACTCCATACCGCGCACATTGCCTCCTCCCCCACCCGCGAGAGCAGGACGCGATGGCCGCCGGCGGCGAGTTCGGCCTGCTGGAGGGCCGGACGGCGGCGCTGGTGCACCCGTTCGTGATGGGCGGGCTGTTCTTCACGACGCTGTACGCCTTCTACCTGGGCCGCCAGTGGAAGCAGGTCCGCGTCGTCGGCGAGAAGATCCAGGACCTCAAGAAGCAGCTCCCCGCTGGCGAGGACGCTGCAGCGGCGTCGCCGGTGTCCGGCGAGATCGCCACGCTCACCGCGGTGAGTGGACTCTCGCGCCCGTGTCGCGTCACGTCACGTGGCGTCGCTGGTTTGGCCCCCGCGTCGGTCGTTGATGCACCAGTCACGGGGTGGCTTGGTTACCGCGAAAGCTGGCACCTTGCGTTTGCACGCATTTTGTAACGAGTGCACCGATCGACGTGCTCTCAAGCTCGTCATTGCTTTCGTGCGCGCGCACTTCAGGGACTACACGCATTCCTGACATTGCAAGACTCGCTTACTCGCATCTGCCACTCGCACAAGCCGCATTCCTTAGCATTGGCACAGCTTGAGCATTCACGCATTTGTCCATCGAGGCTCAACCCACAACCACCTATCCCGTCGCTTTGCCTCCTCCTCACCTCGCTCCTTACATTTCTTCCCCCCCGTTCCCCATCCCCGCTGGTTCCATGGCGTGGCAGCAACGCGCGGAGCTGGTGAAGGGCAACTACCGCGAGAAGCACTTCAACGTGGGGTCGTTGCTGCTGGGCTTCGGCGTGCTCATCGCCGTGGAGGGCTGCGTCAACACCTGGTTCCGCACCGGCAAGCTCTTCCCCGGCCCCCACCTCTGGGCCGGCGCCAGTAAGCCACGCTGCTTGCCCCTTGCCCCGCCACCTCTTGCGCCATGCTTTCTTCTCGCATCCTGCCCTCATGTCTCGCAGACATTCTCGTCCTTCATGGTCGCAGAACGTTCTCCAGCTGCTTCTCAACCCCTCCCTCTTCCCAGCTCACAGTAGCACAATTCCCTAACCCTTCAGTTGCCCCATCGCCCTGTTTAAACTTCTCCATCTCGTCCCCTTTTTTCCGCCTCACTCTCCGCCAGCCATCACGGTGCTGTGGGCACTGGCTGCGTCGCTGGTGCCGGCGATGCAGAAGGGCAACCCAGTGGCGCGCAAGGCGCACGTGGCGCTCAACATGCTCAACCTCGCGCTCTTCGTGTGGCAGATCCCCACTGGCCTTGAGATTGTCGGCAAGGTCTTCGAGTTCACCTCGTGGCCTTGAAACGCTGGCAGACGATTTCAACACCCCATAGATGGTTTTCTATATGAAAGAAACTAGTAATGTTCTAATTTTGAAGACAAAAAAGAGTGGATCCAGAGATTAAGATTCAGTTCCCTAGCAGGACTAACATTGTGGTGATAGACTACCATGGCAGTCACTGCTACTACGGTAATGGAAACTGAAGTTGGTATTGCAGAAGAAAACACATTGATAGCAGCGAAATGAATGTACGTCTACAGCTCCATTTCAACCCCGTCCCTAAAACTTCTTACCGTACATGAGGGCTCTCATCAACAAGAGCTAACAGCTCTAATGAGAAGCACAGTTCCCTGCCTCTCCCTAGTCTGTCTGATACAGCATGCCTATCTTCCCAGGGCATGCTGGAAGTGACCAAACGGCTGCTCCTTCACCTGAGGAGCAATCACACTCTGGTCATAGCCTGATGGGAACTTCTCCTTGCTGTATGTCCCCACCAGGTGGGCCTCCCCCAGCACGTGCCCCTCCATTGCCTCCTGCAGCTTCTCCTTGGTGATCTGCCATCAAGCGCGCCATGCAAGAGGTAAAGGCGAGTTGCCAGGTGACGAGCTTCCAGTTGCACACATCTAACGAAATTTGCAATTGTACCCTAAAAACTGCCAGCCAGATTGGAGGGGCAAACACACATTCCCTAGGTGTGGCAGGTTGCCTGTGGCATTCACAGCCAATCACCCACCTTGCCCATGTAGATACGGCAGTCCAGCGCGTACACAGCGATGTCGTAGCGGTGCGTGCCAGTGGGCGGGTTGGGCCCGCGGTAGTGCGGCAGCTTGAAGTCGTTCACGCCTTCCTGTACGCCCTCGTATTTTGGGTCATTGGCATGGTCCTTGGTTGAAAACCCCGCCGGCAGCCCTGCAAGGTCATCGGGATGAGCATCATGGATGAAAGGCTGCTGACAGGTTGGGAAGCCAGGACGGAAATCAGCAAGGAAGAACTAGAGAAGGAATTTTTTGTTGAAATCTAGGAATTCAGAGCGTGGGGAGTCGTGGCACTGAAGCAAAAGAAACAAAGCTGGGTGCGGGAGGTGAAGGGTGGGATGGGTAGTGTACAACTTGCCTTTGAGGCTGGGAGGAATGTTCGCCACCACCCTGTGCACCACCCACCAAATGAGTACAGGAAAAACGCACAGATCACGTCAATAAAACAGGAGATCAATAACTCTACGAAATTGAGGCACTCCAGAAGCTTATTCGCTACAGAACGATGTCAAGAGTTCAGAGTCGTGATCCGTTCTGCAAACCACTGACCAGTGCGTGAAGGGAACGATGGGCGCCTCCGGGTCCGGCGCGTCGATGTCCTCCATCACAATGGCGAGCGTCTCCGTGCCCTCGGGCACGTCGTGCCACTCAAGGGCGGGCGACAGATCGTGGTGCTGCACGGACCCGTCGCCCGTGCACTGCCTTGGGAAATGCCCGTCCTTGCCCAGGCTCGTGGACGTGATGTAGAAGCTCTCCTCCTGATCAGCGACGCCGTACGCCTCCTGCGCCTTTCGGAACTTCTCCGCCGTGTCTCTCTGCTTGTGGGTCGTCTTCATCTTCATAGTCGACATGATGGCGGCAGTGGGATTTGTGAGGTGTGTTTGCACTGGCGGACGCAGGGACCTTCTGAGAGCAGAGGCACGATTAGGCGATAATTCTACGAATCCAGAAAGGAGAGGCACACGACCAAAAAGAAATGTAGTGGCTGAAGCATACGAGGGATGATGATAGCCGCAGACTTGCAACGGAGCACGCTGAGAGGTCGGACAAGTGGTAAGTCGTAGCAAACGGGATGTGGGAAGGGGAAATGGTGTCCATGCGACTTGCGAGAAATCGAGGCTGTGCGGTCCGACTGATGGAGAGGAAATTCCTTGTCCGCATGATAGGGGTGTGAGCTTGTAGTCATGCCACGTGGTGGTGGCAACTCGGGGATGGCGAACACTTCATTAGCGAAGACGGAATTTATATGCAATCACGAGAAAAGTACGGTGTATCGCAGAGTATTGTTACAATATATCACGCATGTCTCATTATTCACAACATTACCATCAAATATATCAACTGTGTACATTCAACATAATAAATCATAAATTTCAACAAAAGGTGTGCATGCTCTATTATTATGTTTTCTGCACTCATTGGTGTCAGCTCAGTATATCTGAATATCAAATGATTATAGAAGTGGACATAGTAATAAATATGTGTCCCTATAATCTCGCGTCGGCTACCAGCGCACGAAAAGTTTTTGGAGGCAATCTCAAATATCGTTGCTTCCAGACTATTCCAGACTTTTCGAGACCTTCCCAGCGAGTGCTTCAGCTGCTCGCGTGCTCTTCAAGGCCACGCTTCGCCTCCTCCTGGTGCCATCCAGATCCTTCGAAGGGGAAACTGAAAGTTCAGTGAATTCCAGAACGGCGCATCCGCTTTTTATTGCACAGGTATATAAACGACGAACTGGAGTCATTGTCTTATCAAGCTTTCAACCAACAGAAATTAATAACGCTCTTCGCCTTCTAGCGTTCACAATCTTTCAGAGTCCTGTGCTCCAACCTCTTCATTCAAAGGTACTTCTCCGCAATCAAGCGAGCGCCATGTGTCTCTTCTTCATCGAGGTCGGCAGTCCCGACAACCCCTGCGGCGTGAAGGTCGTCGGGCCCACTCTCGGGCTTGTCGCCATGGCAGTCGCCGCTGTGGTCGCGTGGCCCGTTGGAGCGATCGCGTGGCTATGCGACGAGAAGGCTGGACGTCAAATAATGGCTCTGCCCGTGTACACAGTCTACCCTGCGGTCAGCAGCGCCATTCCGTTCTGAGTTGTTCGGAGTGGCGAGAAATGTCACGCAGCTGACGTTTATGGATCCCTGGTACTAGTTAAAAGGGGTGACCCTCCTTCAGATAACTTATTAGGAGCTAAAACCATCCGTACAATCGTGTGTACATTCATTGTATATATTGTGTTGCGCTGCGCTGGCTTGTCGGTTCGGTGGTGGATCTGTCATTGTAAACTCGATATCCGCAGCTGTGTCCTCCAGTATCAACATGATTGTACCATAGAAGCCCTTCAATAGCAATCCAACGCTTGTGATACAAAACGTGGAACCTATGCTTTTGAAACTCAAATCAATCATCCTGTCACCAGCTGCCACGTGGAACCACCGTTTGCTGCATGAACGGGAGTAAATGAGAAGAGAATGGATTGTTCTTAGTGAGACGCTGTCTGATTGACACGGGAGAAAAAGCACCCGTTTCCCTTTGTTTCCTCGAGTTGGTCGCACAGCACACGCATGTCATGCGACTTTACTAGAACCAGACTGCATTGCAACTCTAGGAGACACGCTGGAAGAGATGGCGAGCGGCAGCGGCGCGATGCTGCATGCTGGTCCAGGGCGATGTGCCAGCCTAGTAGCGACGTGGAATGACGTTCCACGTGGTCACACCCACCCCGTGCCGCCAAACATCAACCATGATCATGCCAGGCTCGTTCCCTCTGCCGCTTCTCCCGCTGAGGGGCGTTCCTGTGAGGAGGCAGATGCGCGGTTCTGCTCTCTCCCCGCCTCAGCCAGCCCGTAGACGACTCGCCCATCCACCTCATCAGCCAGCTCGCAGATGCGTGTCTTACCGCGCCTGGGGCGTCAAGTAATCCGACTGCTGGTCGCGCGCATCTTGCTCCTCCCCGCCATTTTCCCTCCCTCCTGTTTCGACGACCTTCAGGTCTGGGCACGCTCGTATTCGATTCTTCGGCTTTCCGTCCCCTATCCCCTGCGGTTGCTTTTGAGCGTAGACGTGCAGTGGGGCTATTGGCCGGTCATCCAAATCTAGGAACCCTCTGATCGAATATCCTGAGTTGGCAGCTGATCAAGAAAAGACATGGCGACGGCTTCGGGAATCAGCGAGCGCGGCATGGCACCGGCGATGCGAAGCGGCGCGGACGGCGTGTACCACTTCGTGATCCCCGTGCGGCCGCTGGCGGGGCAGATCTCCATGGAGCACCTCGAGCGCCTCTCCGTGTACAACTCGCTCTACGGCGCGCGTGAGTGCTGTGCTCATTCATACATGCATGGCGCACAGTGGCTGCGCCCCTTTGTTTCGTTTTTTTTCGTTTCTGTGAACAAGTGATTGAAGCTATGGCTGCTTGTAATAGTCGTGTCAGATGAGAAAGTTAGAACGCGTATGCTGGGGAATTTGTAATGCGCACGCCTTTATTTCTTGTGGCTGATGGACCGGGAGAAGTGGTGAGCATGGGGAACTGAGCACTGGGGGTGTTGCTTTGGCTGCCTCCCTGCAGAGCTGTCATGGCTGCTTGCATGCAAGTGCTTTTTAGATTGCCTGTCCAGTCTGTGCCCTTTCCCTTCCTGTGAACCTCCCTCCTTTCCTAACCCCTTTCCTTTTTTCTTGCAGTGTTCGTTGCAGCAGGGCTTGTGGCCATCCTCTTGCCACTCATTTTCCCACTCGCCTTGGGTGTCGCCATCAAGACTCTTGGTACTGCACCCATCATGTCTTCCTCCACGTGCCACCTTCCTGTATTGGCTCTCACTTCCGTGTCCATACTTGGCGTCCCTCCTTTACCTTTTGTCACATGCTTTTGCCTTTCCAATCCAGTCTCTTTTTCATGCCCGGTTTGTGCTGTCCAACATTTCTTTTCTCACTCTCCCCACCCACCAAGCCCTTATCTTCCCCTGCCTCTCCATGCTCCCTTTTCTCCCCTGTGCGTGCAGGGTGGGTGCTGCTGGTGGGCGGAGTGGTGACTTTCCTGCACTTCCTCTTCCTCTGTGGTGCACCTGGCACCGTCGCACTGCTCTTCCTCGGCCTCATTCACTTCGCCATTGGATTCTCCCTCGTCACCGGCACGGGCCTTGTACAAGGCCCAAACGCTCTCCAGTTTATCCTCGCCGGCTGGTTCTTAGCTCAGGTAACCTGCTTGTGCCAACGTATCAGTGCAGGGCCCCTCCTCTCCTCCTTTCTGTTCCTTGGTCTGCTTTTGAGTCGACT